TAGCCAAACACCTCATGAGATTTGGTTTCCTGGTTTGGAGGTCTAGGGTTATAGCTTCATGAGACATCCCAGTTAATTGGCTTAATAAATTCTTATGTTTCTGTTCACCCTCCTAGTTTCATTGCATAGTGATTGGGGTCTTAAAAGATTGTAAGCAGCCATCCAAGGCACAATAATTGATCTCAGCTGGCACTGTGGGTTAATGCACTGGACTGCAAAGTCAACTCAAAGGCACTTAACAACAACAACATTCATCTGGAGCAACAGAAGAAGAGTCAGGAAGAAAGAGGAGGAGGAAATAGAATGTGTGGCTAGTTGCCTCCACGGACAACTGCCTCCTTTGCCATGAGAACAGAACTGGATGGTCCTGGCTACCATTACTGAACACTGTGATCAAAACTTCTACAGAAGAAACCTGATCAAAAAGGAAAAAACTATAGGACAGAATTTCAAATTCTTACAGAATCCAGATTTTCAGGAGCTAAGAATACTGGGTGAATCCTTGAAGTCAATGTCCTAAAATAATCTCTAAACCTTAAACCAAAATTACCCGTGAAGCCCTCTTAAAACCAAACAATAGCTTAGCTTAACTAGTAAAGAATACCTTGAGTGTTGTGCTTTTTTAAGATCTCTCTATAACACATCAAAGTGACAATAGCAACTCAAGAGACCAGCCAGGAACTTTAGGTGGCAGTGAGTTTATGTTAAGGGGGAAGAACTCACAAAAGGAGGGTGAGTATGGCTGCAAGCTCAAAAAATGCAATCAATGTCACTGAAATGTACATGTAGAAACTTGAACTGGTCTAAAAAAGTAAATTATTTTTTAAATTAAGTACTTCTATGGCCAGGGCCATAATTAATTAAGGAATTAAAATAAATAAATTGAGACATATTAATCGAGGAATTAAATAAATGAGACATGGGGAAAACCTGTGCATGAAGAATTCATTGTCTTTGCAAAGCAACAATGAAATACTTTCTTTTCTTTTTCTTTTTCTTTCTTTCTCTCTTTGGATGGCAGAGCCACAAAGAGTTTTTTTTATTATTTTTATGCACAGACCCCTAGGTTAAATTTTTCTCTTGCTGAATCATTCTCTGAGTTATTCATGATTTTATTAGTATCCCTTTTACTTTAGATTTTTGACTCTCCTACACTTTAGTATATTTTTATTAAAAGTTAGAAGCCACACATTAGCTACATTTCATTCTACTTGTAATCATAGGTAGTTTTAATACTTATATTAACAATATTCTTAAGACTGCTAGGAAACAGGATTTGTCAATTGAATTACTGCCAGCTTAGGTTTAGTGATTGTAAACATTCTTCCTTGTAGCCTTAGTTTAAGGCAATAAAGAATCCTAAACTTGAATAGCAATAAATAAGGGCCGTGGGTACAAGAATTTCTAAAAACAATTAGATAAAGGCTATAGGTATATACAGATACTAAATAAAAAGTCTGACTTAGACGTTCTTAAATTAATGATCAGTAAATTAGAGAAGTTGTTTTTCATAACCTCAGTTTCCCTAATAAGTGATGTTTTTGTAGGCTATAAACAGATAGAGTATGGAAGAAGTTAATGGAGAGTTAATTGCACCTAACAACTAAAATTAACAAGACTTAACAGACAAAGGTTAAGAAATATGTGAAGGTTAACTTGCTTCTCAGAGAAAAGAATAGATTTATGTATGAACAAATGTTTAACTAAAAAGTTTCAAGGCGCCTGAATGTCTCCTATGCCTTGAGATAATGTTTTTGCTGTAACTTCTCATCCCTGTTGTAAATTTAAGTATTGGAAACCATAAGAAATGTGCCCCAAGATAGATTGTACCTTGATGTCATTGATTACTATGAAAGCAATGTTTTTTGTAATGGTATATAAGGGGGTTGGAAGATAGAACAAAAGGGGTGTAGGACAAAGAAGAAGGAGGTGAAGAAGGAGGTAAAGAAGGCAAGAAGTAGAAGGGATGAAGAGAAGAAAGAAGCGAAGATGGGAAGTAGAAGAATGGGTGGAAGAAGAATTAGAGGCAAGAAGTAGAAGTAAGAGTAAGTAGAGGAAAATAGAACGAGACAAGAATGGAGGGAGGGGAAGCTAGTAAAGGGAGCAGAAGAGGGGAGCAGAGGAAGGGAGCATAAGAGGAGAGCAGGAGGGGAGCAGGAGAGGAGAGAATGGAAGCAGGAGCAGGGGAGGGGAGAAAGGACGCAAAAGATATGAGCAGGAGAGCAAGGGAGTAAAGAATGAGCGGGACAGTAAAGAATGAGAGAAGTAGAGTATTAGAGTAGCCATAGAAATAATAATAACAAAGCATGTAATGAGAAGATCTTGAATTTATCATGATCCATGACTCCGTATACAGCCGACGCCGCACCCGCTTTCGGAAAAACCCTGGAATAAGTTTGCTGGGGCTGGCTCCCGGCACTTCTATTTCCCTCTTGGAGTCCTGGTGTGGCACTGTGGGTTAATTCACTGGACTGCAAAATCAGTCTGACTGGCAGGGTCGGTGGTTCAAGCTCACCAGCTGCTCCTTGGAAACCCTATACAGGGTCACTATGGGTTGGAATCGACTCGATGGCACTTTAACAACATTTCCCTCTTGGCCACTCTCTTCTGTGCATTTTTCTTAATAGTCCACTTTAATGTTCTTCTGACCTGGAACCCCTTCACTGTTTTCAAGTCTCAACAAGCTAAGGTCAGACCTACAGACTAGTGCTCTGCTGGGATGAACCCTAGATTTGTTGTTGTCGTGAAGTGTCATTGAGTCGGTTCCAACCCATAGCGACCTTGTATAGGGTTTCCAAGGAATAGCTGGTGAGCTTGAACTGCCAACCTTGCAGTTCAAACGACTTTGCAGTCTGGTGCATTAACCCACAGCGCCACACCAGAACCCTGGATTAGCAGTCAGGAAACCAGGGTTTGGTTGACGGATCCTGATATGTTGTTTCTGGCTGGGGCTCCCCTTGTATTCCATGAGGCTCTCATTGGCTGGACCATAACACTCTACAGTCTTGTGATTGGGTGGCAAAGTTCAGTGTCAGGGTTGAGGATGGGACACATCCCATAGGCAAGGTGGGGGGCATAGGGTGCAAAACAAGGAGGTAGCTGTGGAGCTGAGGAATCAGGACCATATTCCAAAACTGCCTGAGGAAGGCAAAGCCAACCAGCCATCCGTGCGGTGCTTACCTGGCTCTTCAGGACTGCCTTGGGGGCCCGGTCCTACGCAGGGCCAAACACATCTAGGGTTCTTGTGCTCTACTATTCCTACCAAAACCTACTATAAAGGGACCAGGTAAACCCTCTCATACTCAGGAGGGTCGGGGACTTGCCGGGGCAACATAAAGACTTGGGAACAAAACCAGGAAGCCTGACTCCCTCCTTTAGTGCCTTTTCTCCAAATACTAAAAAGACTTAACCCTAAGGTTAAGGATGACATTTCGAGTCTCAGGGGGTGGGGATATCTCTTTGGAGGGGCTGAGGCCTTTAAACACAACTCCACCTTATCTACACTGCGCAAAGGGCAGCTGTGGTAAGGCAGATGTCTTGACCTCCAGGTCTAATCATCTGATAAACATGCATGCAATTCCCACTAAGGGCTCCTCTCCACACCCCCCAATCCGGACTTGAGTCTGGACGACCCTTATTTGATGTGACCTTGGACTCGCCACTTCTGTTTTCCATCTGGGCGAAGACAACAACACAGGGCATATTAAGCCTAACCAGAGAGGACCCGATTAAATATGATGAAGCGTTAAATAAATGGTAAAGAGCCTTCGCAAAATAACTGATCGCATCCGTTTCCTTTCCACCAAAGTAAAACCTTGCTATCACTCCATACTTTATTACGCTGTAGGGAATGCTTTCCGCTTCCGTTCTGAGAGGGGCGGGACTAGGCCACTGGGAGCCACGCCCCAGAAAGTGGGGCCGGCTTCGTCGCGTCCAACCCTGCGACCCAAGGAAGGGACCCAGGTAGTGACGTCATACCACGCACCTGTGTAACCCTCCGCCACTAGGTAAAGTAGTCCTCAACTCATATCGTCTTCCCTCCCCCAAATTAGGCAAAATGCAAAATACTAGATGCTCTACAGGCAGGATTACGGCTCTGGGACCTCAGAACGGCCTTCCGGCATATCAGAAACCTGTTTTTCTCCGAGACGTCAGTGGAAGTAGTTCCGGCCTACTGTAGGCCGATGGGTCCCTCCGCGGCGGGGGGAAGAGGATGGCGACCTCGTCGATGCCGGAGTTAGAGAGGAACGCGGCTACAAGAGCGTCGGGTGAGTGGGGGCCAGAATCAGGTCGTCCCACTGCTCTCTGCCGCGGAGTGGGGCCGCACTACGGGGGCACCCGGCAGCGAGGTACCAGGCCGGCGGGGCTGTCCGAACAGGGCCCCAGGGTCCCAGGCCCTTTAGTCGCTCTCGTACTTGCCTGAGCGGAAACCCGCGCCGCCGCAAGATGGCGTCGGGTCTGGAGCTCAGGCAGCGCCAGGGACAGCCCCGAGTCACCAGGCCCCGGGACCGTCTCTGTCAGCCCCCTCCACAGGGGAAAGAAGGGAGGGGGGAGCAAACCACTGACCCAGGGGCCCTGCGGGCTGTACCACCCACCCTGCACTGAGGGGGGGCCCGGGGGCCGAAGGGCTGAACCACTAAGCCTCAATGGGGCTCGTAGAGCAAACCACTCTGTGGAAGCCATGGGGTGAGGGAGGGGCGGGGATATGGTCAAGATTACTGATCATTGACCACACGCCCGGGAATGGGGAATGACTCTCGACTGGGAAGCAAGGCTTCTCAGTCTTGTTTTCCCAGAGTTCCCTTCTGTGGACTGGAGAAAGCCCCGCCCCGTCGGAGGCCTCAGTCTTTGAAGCTGCGAAATGGGCGCAAGGGTTCAGATGTGTGGGCTGTGGTCACCGAGGCCCGGCAAGTCGCCCACCTGTTCCAGCCCCTACTACCTCTTCTGCAGAGTGAGGACCACAGACCCTGCGCCCCTCTACCAGGTGGGTCCTGGAGCTGATGGAGGAGAACGAGGTGGAGAGCAGTAGCGATGCGACCCCTGGGCCTGGCCGGCCCGAGGAACCGTCCGAGAGTGGCCTGGATGTGGGCACCTCGGAAGCCATTTCGGCCGACAGCAGCGACGCCGCGGCCACCCCAGGGCCTGTAGAGGCTGACGAAACGGGAGTCGGGCAAAGCTCGGACCGTGGCAGCTCTCAGGTATGGACTGGACTGGACTGGGCTGGACGACGCGGGTGGAGGCAGGTTCCACGGCAGCAGGGCCAGGCAGCCAAGGGAAGCCCCCAGCAAGACTGACTGAGAGCTAATGTCGGTTGTTCTTGGTTTACTGTGAGCCAGGGACCATGTCGTTTAGTGCCATTGTGTCGGTTCTGACTAGCAGTGACCGTATATAGGGTTTCCGAAGAACGGCTGGTGGATTTGAACCGCTGACTTTGCAGTTCAAACTGACCTTGCTATCCAGGGCTTATCGTACATCACCAAACCAGAACTCCAAGCCCTTAATATGGACTTTCTCATTTAAACTTCATACCTTATAAAGTACATCCGTGATTTACAGAAAAGGAAACTGGGGCACAGAGTGCAGACAGAGCCAGGATTCAGATCTAAACTGTGTTGTCACCCAGTACACTTTGCCCTCACACTTTGAGATGTAGCGTCCTAGCCCCGGGTCCCCCAGGAGACCTAGCTGAGTCTTGTTCTCTCCATCTGTGAGATGGACCAAGAATACCTGTCTCAGAGGCTGCCACCTGCCTCTCTAAACCAGGGGTGGGGAGCCTTTTTTTCTGCCAAAATTGATAACATCATTCGTGGGCCATCTAAAATTATCAACTTTAAAATTAGCCTGCTTTATATGGTCAAACATTTAATCGACTCACCCCTAATGTGCTGGCTGGAACTGCGGTTGCCTTGTCAGGGGCATACCAAATATAAGGCCCACAGGCCGGACGTTCCACACCCCTGCTCTAAACCATCTCCTCCTGACTTCTACTTCCTAGCTCTGTGCTTTTGGGCAAACTATCCAACTTCTCAATCTCAATTTCTTTATCTGTAAAGTGGGGACCATAAATATACCTACCTCAAAGTTTTTTAGAGGATTAGATGAGAACCAGTCATTTTCATTATTATGGTCTGCAAAATAGTGAACCATATTCAAGTTTATTTCTTGAAAAAACCAAACCAGTTGCCGTGAAACTAGTTCCAACTCAAGCCAACCCCCATGTGTCAGAGTAGAACTATGCTCCATACGGTTTTCAGTGGTTGATTCACAGGTGATAGCCAGGTCTTTCTTCCAAGGTGCTTCTGTGTGGGCAGGAACCTCCAACCACTGGGTTAGCAGCCGAGCATGTGAACTGTTTCCATCACCTAGGGCTTCTCCTCTATAAAAGAAAGCCCAAACCCAACGCCATCCCGTTGATTCCAACTCATAATGATTTTAGAGGGTTTCTGAAGCTGTGGGTCTTTATAGCATCAGAAAGCTACATCGTTCTGAGGAGCAGCTGGTAGGTTTGAACTGCTGACCTTGAGGTTAGCAGCCCAGAGCTTATCCTACAGCACTACCAGGGCCGCTTTCTCTGTAAATTATTGTTCAATGCCAGCCGAGTCAGTTTCAACTCATGGTGACCCTGTATAGGATTTGCGAGGCTGTGAATCTCTGCAGAAGCAGAAAACTTCATCTTTCTCCTGAGGAGCGACTGTTGAGCTCGAACTGCCGACCTTGTGGTTTGCGGTCGAATGGTTATCATACAGAGCACTGTGCTCTTCCTCTATAAAACACGGAGGATAGTATCCATATCATTTGACAGCAGTAGAGCCCCCACTTTGAAATCCTAGGATTCCTGAATTCAGCTGAGACGGGCCTGCCGTGTGCCACGCGAGGCTGGGCCTTGGGGAGATACAGCAGGGTTGTTGACTGGCATGGGCCCAGCCTTCCTGGAGGACAGTCTGACTGACGTGGGGACACTGCAGTGCTGAGTGAGCAGTGATGTGCTAGGAAAAGTCCTGAACCTGTAGCTCTCAGGGAGATGGTACTAGGCCGTGGGAGTCAGAGTCGGCTTCCTAGAAGAGGGGCCAGCTAAGAGGTGGTGAGAAGACAGGTTCACTGTGGAGTGATGGGAGGAAGAGGGAACAGCTTATGCAAAGGCCCAGTGGAAAGAGCGCCGCTTGGCTGTGATGTAGGGGATGGGAGCCTCTGCTCTTTATTGTGGGGTGGCCCCTAAGCAGACAGAGCCTGGAACCCTGAGGCTTGATATGGGGAGCTCTGTGATTGGAGGGCTTCATCCACTGGTCCCAGGTGGGGCTGAGAGTGTGGGTATCTCTGGTTACTATGTCTCCAGACCTAGCTCCTGAATTGCTCCCACTCTATCTCCCCCACCCTCAGGAGGAGGTGTCTGAGAGCAGCTCCAGCATGCATCCCCTGCCCCATGGCTACCTCCCAGACTCATCTTCTGTGTCCCACGGTCCTGTGACAGGGGTGACAGGTAGCCCCCTAGCCCTGGTACACTCCAGCGCACTCCCAGAGCCCGCCATGCTGGTGTCCGACTGCGCAGCCTCTTCCTCAGACCTGGGCTCAGCCATCGACAAGATCATCGAGTCCACCATCGGGCCAGACCTCATCCAGAGTGAGTCAGACAAGGGGCAAGGGGTCACCCATGGGGTTTCCCTCCCTGTAGAGTGACCTCTGGCAAGTAACCTTACAGCTCAGAAAGCCCAAAATCGTTGTGATGGCCCTGTCTGAGACGAGGAAGCGGAACGAGGGTACTGAGACAGTGCCGTGAGGTCTGAGCGTAGGGCCTGGCACACAGTGAGCACTCAGTAAATCCCAGGACAGGACTAGCTTCCTTTGTGCTGCGGAGTCTTCTAAACACTCTACATACTGTAGCTCATTCAATCCTTCTAGTAACCCCAAACAGTGGATCCTCACACTCCAGATGAGAAATCTGAGGCACAAAGCAAGCGTGTCACACACAGAGCCTCGAACAGCTCTTCTGGTGGAGACACCAAAGGTTGAGAGGAACGATAGGGCTGGCTTGAGCCAAAGGAGCAGCCAGAGTAGGGAGTGTGAGTCAGCAGCTGGGATTCCCCCATCTCTCCCAGGCTGCATCACTGTGACCAGCGCTGAGGATGGTGGGGCCGAGACCACTCGCTTCCTGATCCTTCAGGGCCCAGATGATGGTAAGACCCCAGAGACTAGACTCAGGGAGAGGCTGGACTTGGCTGGCACCTCACTGTATCATCTGAGCAGGTTATCCACTGCTCTGGACTTCCATTTTCCCATTGGCAGGTGGCCTCTGTGGGGAATTGAGGTCCAGGACCTCGAGCCAACCCTGCCATCTACTTCCCTGCCCACTGCTCCCTTCACCCATCTGCAGGCGCACCCCTGGCATCGCCGATGTCCAGTTCCACACTGGCCCACAGCCTGGCAGCCATCGAGGCTCTGGCTGATGGACCCACATCCACATCCACATGCCTGGAGCCGCTGCAGGAGGCGCAGGGTGGACCCAGCTCCCCAACAACTCAGCCTCCTCCAGGCCCTGGTACCGATGAGCCAGACCTGCAGAGCCTGGAGGCGATGATGGAGGTGGTGGTGGTGCGGCAGTTCAAGTGCAAAATGTGCCAGTATCGGAGCAGCACCAAGGCCATACTGCTGCGGCATATGCGCGAGCGACACTTCCGCCCAGGTCCGTCCATAGCAGCCCACCTGCCTGGAATTGCACAGAAGGGGGCGCGGGGTGGGCAGGGAGTGGGACCTGGCCACCCTGTCTCACCCTCTCCAGCAGCAGTGGCAGCAGCCAATAAGAAAGGACGTCTGCGGAAGTGGGGTGCCTCGGCCAAGGCCCAGGAGGAGGAGGGTCCTGAGGAGGAGGAGGATGACGACATTGTAGATGCTGGCGCCATTGACGACCTAGAAGGTAGGCCACCATGGCTCCCAGGCCTGCCACCTCCACCCTTGTCCCTGTCCCCAGATGCTTTTGGCTGGAGGGCCAGGAAGGGGGAATTGGCACAGACCCAGCCACAGGTGGCTTCATTGTGAGACAAAGGAGGCCATGCTTTGGAACAAGGCCTGCTGTGTACGGCTGTGCAGGCTTTGCCCTGGAAAAGAGCTCCATCGGTCTGCTAGGAATAGAGCACAAACCTTGCCAAAAGAAAGGACGAGCTTTGTCATGTGTATTACCTACCCATTCTATCTGAAATGGAGTCCTGGTGTGCTGCTGTAAGACAAGCACTGGACTGCTGACCACAAGGTTGGCAGTTCAGACCCACCAACTGCTCCCCAGAAACCCTAGACAGGATTGCTATGAATTGGAACAGACTTGATGGCATTTAACAATAATATCTAAAATGTTATCTTTCTGATGTGCTTGTTGGTAGGTGCCATTGAGTCAGTACCGACCCATAGCGACCTTATGCACAGCAGAACGAAATACTGCCCGATCCTGGGCCAGCCTCACTACTGTTGCCACGCTTGAGTCCATCGATGGACTTGGCCAATCCATCTTGTTGGGGGTCTTCCTCTTTTCCTCTGACCCTCCACCTTACCAAACATGATATCCTTCTCCAGCAACTAAGTCCCTCCTGACAATATGTCCAAAGTATGAGAGATGGAGTTTGGCCATCTTGGCCTCCAAGTAGCACTCTGGCTGTACTTCTTCCAAAACGGATCTATTGGTTCTTTTGGCAGTCCATGGCACTTTCAATATTCTCCTCTAACACCATAACTCAAAAGCATCAGTTCTCCTATGGTCTTCTGATGTGCAGTCATCATAAAAGTGCACCATAAGATTTTTTTCTTTTTCATACTAAGTTCAGTATGTTGGGCAGTAAATAAAAAAATCCTCACTGCTATCAAATCGATTCCTACTCAAAGCAACCCCATCTTGAGTTTCCGAGATAGTAAATTTTGACGGCAGCGGACAGCCTCTTCTTTTCCCCAGGAGCAACTGGTGGGTTTGAACCATCTCCCTTGTGGTTAGCAGCCCAGTGCTTAACCCACTGCACCATTAAGGTCCCTTCTACATTGAAGGATGACCTCAGCTGGGACAGGGTCCATTTCCAGTGCTCAGTAACCGCATTACTGGCTGCTGTGTTTGACGGCTCAGTCCAAATTTTTGACTAGAATGCTTATTTCAACTCTTTTTTCTAACAGTGGCTGTGAGGGGTTTTGAGGAAGGGAAGAGTTTTTCTGATTTTCATAAGGATGCTGTGTGTAGGTGTCAGGAAAGATGCAGAGAAAGGACTGCAAAAGGTGCCCGGTCAGCCAGTAGGGCTTCCTGGTGGAGGCGTTACTCGTGGGCTTGAAGGAGGAGTAGAAGTGCTAATAGGCGGGGATGGGAAAGTGGGCCGCTTCCTGGGGGAGCTATGAGCTCCAGACACAACCCCTTCTTACTCCCGCCACAGAGGACAGTGACTACAATCCAGCTGAGGATGAGCCCCGTAGCCGACAGCTTCGGCCCCAGCGCCCTGTCCCCAGTACCCCGAGACCGCGAAGGAGACCTGGCCGACCCCGGAAGCTGCCTCGCCTGGAGACCTCAGACCTCCCAGATGGTGAGAATTGTTTGGGGAAGGGACCTCAGTCCCTGGGGTCCAGGGAGACCCCATACCCTATATGCATTGCAGAGCCACGTGTGCATATGGAGCTGGAGGGGAAAGACCTCCTAGACCCAAGCTTGAGAAACCCTGAACTTCATGAAAATGCCTTGCAGTGGTAAACGAAGCTGAGTCTTTGTGTGTGAGTTGGTATGGAGTGAGGTATGTGTGCATTGTGTGTACTGAATTGCAGGCGGAGGAGTCAGTCTAACAGCAGAGACCATGTCCTGGGAGTCCTGTCCTGGCACATTCCAGCAGGCAGGAAAGACCCGGACTGGTTCCGCCATGCACTGCTGCAGCTCTGCCTCTTGCGTCTGCTGTTCCCTTTATCACTGGAGGCGACAGCAATCCTTAAATATTGTTGTGAGTCTTTAATGCTACATACAAAAAAACAACTGATACAGCTCCACGGGAGAAAGACCTGGTGATCTGCACCCTTAAGTATTGTTAGTTCTGACACATAGTGACCCCTGTATAGGCTTCCTGAGAAGCAGCTGGTAGGTTAGAGCCACCAGTCTTGCAGTCGGCAGTTCAGTGCTTATCCTACAACCCAACACCAGCCTCCCCTTGAATATTACAACCTAGAAACCCCTGTGGGGGCAGTTCTCTGTCATGGGATTGCTAGTTGACAATCCCCTGACAACAATGTGGTTAAGTATGTTAAAAAAAAAATTGACTTGTAGACACCTGAGAACAGTAACGATGTTGTCGCTCCTTGGAAACCCAATCTGAGGAATAGGATGAAAACAAATTAAGAAAAATTAATAGGCTTCTGAAACACCATCTAGTTTAGCAATGTGTACATAATGGGAATCCTAGAGGTGAGGAAAGAAAGTGGCAAAAACAGTATTTGAAGAAATAATGGCCAAAATGTCCTAAATTTCATTTTTAAATGAATCTGCATATCCAAAGAGCTCAATCACGCAGGATCCACTTGTATACACATCACAGAAAAACTGTCAAAAGCTATAGATTAAATCACTCTGAGGCTGGGATATCCTTCCCAAATTTGGAATATCCTGTCCCAAATTGAAGCCAGAGGGACTTTGTATTCCTGCATCTGCCAGTCATTGGCTAGGGTCAGCCGTGCAAATTGAAGCAGGATTCTCTGCTCCTATGCTGGAGACCCTGGTTCAAGTCCCAGCCATTCCACCTTGGGTGTAGCCACCACCCACCTGTCAGTGGAGGCTGGCTTGTTGCTGGATAAGTTTGATGGTGAACAAGTTTCCACAGAGCTTCCAGATGAAGATGAACCAGGAAGAAAGGCCTGGCAATCCACTGCTGAAAATCAGCCAGTAATAAACCCCATGGATCCCAGCAGTGTCATCCACAGCCAATCAGAGGGCTGGTGCAGGACCAGGCAGCATCTTGTCTTGTACAGGGCATGGCCATGAGTCAGGGGCCAACTTGGGAGTAGCTAACAACAGCAACAACATACTTCACGATTTACTGGTTTGAAGACCCCTGTTTGCTCATTTTGCACTCCTGGTGTGGCACTGTGGGTTAATGTGCCAGACTCCAAAGCTGTTTGAACTGCAAGTTCAAGCTCACCAGCTGCTCCTTGGAAATCCAATGGACAGCACTTAAGAACACATCAGCAACTAACCTAATGGTTGGCAGTTCAATTCCATCCTGTGGCACTACGAAAGAAAGGCCTACCAATCTGCGGCTGTAACGATTGCCGTTAAGAATAACTGATGGGGCAGTTCTGTCCTAATGTGGGGCTTCGTTATGAGTCAGAACCAACTCAACAGCAACAAACAGTGTAGTTTTTTGAATGAGGAACACATTCAGATATTTCAGAATGGAATAGGTTTGAAAGCTTGGACAGTGGCATCTTCTCCCTGTCTCTAGCCACTCAGCTCCCCTCCCTGGGAGCACCCAGTGTGAACTGCTGCTGTTTCCCACACCTTAGAATGTTTCTACGAGGTCAGTAGTGCACCTTTGACAGATGGGGAAAATAAGGCACAGGGATGTGGGCGGGTGCGCAGCAAATCTGTGATAGCTGTGTCTAGAACCCAGGTCTCCTGACTCACTCCGGGAGCCCGGTTCCCCAACTCTTGCTCTGCAGGAAGCAAGCTGTCCTGGTCCCCCTCTAGCAGACTGTTTGCGCCTGTGCCCATCAAGTGTGTGATGAGCCTGGGACTAATTGTTATCTACCTGTCCAAGCAGGTGTGGTAGGAGAGCCGCTGGTGAGTTCCCAGAGCGGACAGAGACCCCCAGAGCCGCAGGACCCCGAGCCTCCCAGCTCCTCAGGCCCCGGACACCAGGCAACCCAGGCTACAGCTGGGAGAGTCCCCAGGGAACCCACCGTGAACCAGTCGGATACAGAGAACGCAGCCCCCTCTAGCCAGGATGAGCCTGAAGTCCCACCACGTCGCCGCGGCCGGCCCTCCCGGCGCTTCCTCGGCAAGAAATACCGCAAGTACGTGGAGTCGAGATGAAGCTGCTGTGGGGGGGTGTGCTTCTTGTCCCCCTTCGGTCCCCAGTCCAGCTAACCCCCCACACCCTCCTGGCAGATACTATTACAAGTCACCCAAACCGCTGCTGAGGCCCTTCCTGTGTCGCATTTGCGGCTCCCGCTTCCTGTCTCACGAGGACCTGCGTTTCCACGTCAACTCCCATGAGGCCGGCGACCCCCAGCTCTTCAAGTGTTTGCAGTGCAGCTACCGCTCCCGCCGCTGGTCCTCGCTCAAGGTGGGGCAGGGCAGGGAGGAGGCAGTGGGCAGAGGGGTTAGCTTCGTCCTGGTCGCCGCCCCCTGCGTCTGGCACACAGAGGACTGTCTGCCTGGGCCTGGGGAGAAGGGGCCACCATGGTGGCTCTGCAGGCTGTGCCATGCATAGTGGCGCCGCTGCGCTACACACCATTGTCTGTCCTGACCACAAACTGACAGATGGCGTCAAAATCTTGTTTTAACTGATTCCAAATGTTAGAGAAGTTCTCCAGCAGGTGGCAGTAAAAAGGGGGTTCCTTTTTCTTGTGAGCCTAAAGGTGCCATGTGGGGCAACAGCAGCCCTCTCATTTCACCCTCATGGTGGTCTAGTGATGCTGTTGAGAGCCCTGACCCAGAAACTGTGGCTTAGCTTGGTCAAAGTATCACAGCGAGCGGACCAGGAGTGAGGAAGCTTGCTGTAAGGAACCCTGGTGGCGCTGTGGGTCAGGCACTGGGCTGCTAACCAAGAGGTCAGCAGTTCAGACTGTCCAGCTGCTGTGTAGGAGAAATATGAGGCTGTCTGTTCCCATAAAGATCGACAGTCTTAGAAACCCTCTGTAGGATATCTGTGAATTGGAATTGACTTGATGGCGGTGGGGTTTGGGGTGCTTTTTGCTGGAAGCTTTCTGAGTGCTATAAACGGACTCGGCTGCCAGCTGAAAGGGTGGAGGTTTGAGTATACCCAGAGATACCTCAGAAAAAAGACTTGGCAATCTACTTCAAGAAACCAGCCATGAGAGCCTTGGAGTTCTGATGTGGCACATGGGTTGCCATGAGCCAAGAGTCGACCTACAGCATCTCATTTGGTTTTTGCTGCTTTCTGTGAACAAGGCTAACTCCCTTGTAGACCAGCAGCCTGTGGCCTAGAAGTTATTCTCTGGAGCCTAGCTTGGTGAAAAGAGTATGCCCTGTGAGGTCAGCTGCTCACAAGGTCACTGTAGGACCTAGGTGAGCTGGTTTCTTGCTTTGTCAAATGGAGAACCAGCTCTGCCGAGTGCAGGACAGGTGTGCTCATGGGAAAGGGTCTTCCCAGCCTTTGTTCCAGAGGGTCGGCTGTCCAGATCCCCTGGTTCTGTGTGCTCTTCCCCACAGTAGCACCAAGGGTGGGGATATGAGAGGCTGAGCCCTGGCCCACTGTCCTTCCACCTCTCTCCCAGGAGCACATGTTCAACCACGTGGGCAGTAAACCCTACAAGTGTGATGAGTGCAGCTACACCAGTGTCTACCGGAAGGACGTCATCCGACACGCAGCTGTGCACAGCCGGGACCGGTCAGTAGGTGTGGGGAGGCCTGGGGACCATTGTTCCCCGACTCTGGGCCAGCCCCACTCGCAGCACCAGCAAGGCGGTTCACCCCAGATGACTTTGCTCAACAAGGGCCTGCGGACCCAATCCAGGCTTGTCTTTGCTTTGAGCCTTAATTTCCCGTCTGTAGAATGGGGACAGTTGTTACGGGGATTAAAGAAAATTGTGTGCCTATAGGGATGTAGTCAGGGATCTACCCCCTGCTAGCCCGTGCCCACCTCACACAGTGCAGAGAGAGCAGACCTGGACAAGGCCAGGGAGAGACCAAAGTCCTTCGAGGTGCAGTGATAGCTCGCTGAAGTACTTACTCAGCAGCCTCAAGGAGGAGTGAACCTCATGTCCTGTGGGGACAGGTGGGCAGAGGTTGGATACAGGATTCCAGTGTAACTAGGGGATACCGAGTTTAAAGGTGGTATGCCAGATTTGTTTCCCACAGGACTTCTCAAAGCTTGTAATAACATAGGAGTGTGTTTTGTGACTCAGAGGGAGAGTGCGCCATCTCCCTTGCCTACTTGAATACAGAGCTTACTCATTGCTCCTTGATATTTTCCCCCAGAGAACCCATTTGGAGAGGGACTTGGGTGCAGAGTAGGGACACTTGGCTTTGGCTGGGTGGGTCCATATGAGGGGTTGTGGGCCGGGCCTGGGGGGTTTGGGTCCAGCTCCTGTGCTCTTCTCCCACAGGAAGAAGAGGCCAGATCCGGTGAGTGTGGGGCCCTGGCCTGGGAAGGGCTGCTTTTGAGGTAGGTTTAACTCTCTCCCATCCCTTCCATCGGCCCTTCTGGTCCCTTCTCAGACCCCGAAGCTGAGCTCTTTCCCCTGCCCCGTGTGTGGCCGTGTCTACCCCATGCAGAAGAGGCTCACGCAGCACATGAAGACACACAGCACCGAGAAGCCCCACATGTGTGACAAGGTGGGTGGGAGCCAAGGGCAGGGCTGGAGCCCAGGGGCCTTCCTGGCTGAGCGCCCCCCCCACCCCCACTACCATCTGACGCTCCCCCCACCCCTCCCAGTGTGGAAAATCCTTCAAGAAGCGCTACACCTTCAAGATGCACCTGCTCACGCATATCCAGGCTGTCGCCAACCGCAGGTACGCCCCCTGAGGTTCTCCTGGGGGGGCTGGAAGCACCCCTGCCCCACCCTGTTACTGAGCTTCCTCCCTCCATGCCTCTAGATTCAAGTGTGAGTTCTGTGAATTTGTCTGTGAGGACAAGAAGGTCCTGTTGAACCATCAGCTGTCCCATGTCAGCGACAAGCCCTTTAAGTGCAGCTTCTGTCCCTACCGTACCTTCCGAGAGGACTTCCTGCTGTCCCATGTGGCTGTCAAGCACACAGGTGGGCTAGCTGCACCCCAGCCCCACCCCTGGGAGGGGAAGTTCAGCTCGTGACCTTTGCCTCAAATTCCAGCTCTTGAGTGGCCTTGGACCAGTCACTTGCCCTCCCTGGGCCTCAGTTTCCTTAGCTGTGAAATGGGGACACCAGACGTGCCTGCCTTGGGCGTGTTAGGGAGCCAGTCCGTCCTGTTCTGTGTTGTGGGCACTGGAGCCAGAAACAGCTCTGCCCGAGGCCCCCGTCCCTAGCCATGCAGCAGCATCAAGCCAGTGTAGCTTCTTTGGGCAGTACCTGAACTGGTACTCTGGGTGACTAGTTGAAGGGAGTCTGAGAAATAGCCAGATTCCTGCCTCATGTCCCAGGTGAGATAGTTCACAAGAGGGCTATTTGGTCAGATGACCTGGAAGGGAGGACCTGATTCACTCAGGTCACCAGAGCAGACACGGTGTGGACTCACCTGCGCCGAGGGGCAAGTCGCTAGAAGGGGACCAGGTGGAGAGGTCATGGATGGCTTCCTGGAGGGGCTGGGCCAGGGTAGGGTGGACACACGCATCCTCTACATGTGCCCGCAGGTGCTAAGCCCTTCGCCTGTGAGTACTGCCACTTCAGCACGAGGCACAAGAAGAACCTGCGTCTACACGTGCGGTGTCGTCATGCCAGCAGCTTTGACGAGTGGGCTCGGCGCCACCCCGAGGAGCCCCCCTCCCGCCGCCGCCCCTTCTTCTCTCTGCAGCAGATTGAGGAACTGAAGCAGCAACACAGCTCGGCCCCTGGGCCGCCCTCCAGCCCTTCCAGGCCTTCTGAGGTAAGCTTAGCCAAGGAAGCAGCACCTTACCAAAGAGGCTTGGGACATGGGCCAGGAGGACAGTGTGAGGGTCCCTCTCTCAGCCTCAGCATCTTTATTGGCATGTGCCTGCTGCGCTGGGCTGCGGTCAGGTCTTTGTTCACTAACGCTAAAGCTCAGAGCAAGGGTGGTGTTTTGGTGCTCATCCTAGAGAACAGAAATGGCCTGTAGCTCAGTTTAGGTGGTTGTTGAGTGCCATCGAGTCAGTTCTGACTCATAGCAACTCTATACAGGGCCGACCCTGTGGTTCAAACCTACCTTGCTGTCCAGTGCATTATCCCACAGCGCCGTAAAAGAATACTAAATGTCTGCAGTCCAGACCTGGCGTGATGGCTCCAGAGTCATCAGGAAGCAGATTCCCTCTGTGTTTTTGGCTTAGTCATCCTAGATGCAGGCCTTCCAGTTTCATGGTTGCTTCATGGTCTGGTGTATCTGCAGGAGCTCCGGCCATTGGAGCCACCTCTTAGGCAGAAACAGAAAGTAGAGTTAGAAGAAGGGTAGAAATGATGTTTTTCCTCAGGAACTTGAAGTTCCTGCTTAGTCACTCTACCTAGCTGCAAGGGAAGTTGAGAAATATAGTCTTGTACTGGGGACATTGTCTCCCTGATAAAACTCAGCTCTTAACAAGAAAGAAGAGAGCATAGGTTCTGCGTCGGAGCCAGTGGTTCTAGCCACACACGCACTCCTGCAACAGCCCTGCGCAGATGAACTGCATGGTACATCAAAAGAACACCATGCCCTGCAGCCAGACAGGCTTGTGTTCGAGTCCCAGCTCTGCCACATCCCCCGTCTGGCCCTCGGTGTACTCATCTGTAGCTCAGGGCTCCAGGGCCGGTGAGCAGCACAGGAAGTGGAGATGACGGTGAAATAAGCCAACAGACATAGTGTGTCTGACATGCACAGGGGCTGAGGGGGTGACTCTCAAATCTCAGTCACCTTCTCAGAGTATGTCCCCATCCCACAGGTTCGCTCAGAAGCATCACCTCTCCAATCACCTGAGCCCACACCGCTGCTCTGTTCTGATGCCCTAAGTGGTGCCACCATCATCTACCAGCAGGGTGAGCTCCGGGAGGGGCATGACAGCGGGGGGCCCAGGACACAGGTCAAGCAGGTGGGGCTGAGAGAGGGGAGAACAGCCTTGAGTACCAGTTGTCTGGCCCTTCCTAAAGCCTGGGTCCCCATTCCCCAGGAGCTGACGAGTCAACTGCAGTGGCCACCCAGACAGCCTTAGATCTGCTGCTGAACATGAGCGCCCAGCGGGAATTGGGGGGCGCTGCTCTGCAGGTGAGTCTCTGCACCTCACAGGTCCCAGTGCCTCCTATGCCCAGGTTGCACTGCCCCACTTAGGGAGTTACTCCTTAGGAGACAGAATTTCTGTTGTCTAGATGGGAGATGGGCATGGTGAGAAAGAAACATGCACAGAACCAGAGAAAAAGATGTTGACCAAGTCCTCTTCTGTAACTGATGAATTCTCTGTACTGTATAGACTTACAGGAGCTCTGATAGCATCGTGGTTACAAGTCGGGCTGCTAACCTCAAGGTCAGCAGTTCAAAACTACCAGCCGTTCCACGGGAGAAAGATGTGGCTTTCTGCTCCCATAGATTTCCAGCCTCGGAGAACCTATATAGGGCCACTATGAGTCGGAACAAACTCCACGGCACACCACCATCAAAAGTACTATTGGTATAGACAGAGGCTATGAAACCCTCTGGACAGAGGGCCATTTACAGGGGCACTGTGTGGTCAGAGGCCATCCCTAGTTGTATCTCTTGTCTCATGTCTGCCAGTTTGCTAGAAATATACTGCGTGGTCTTACTTTATAAAGGCCTGATTATACGAGGGAGCTTCAAGGTATTTATGGAAGAAATTCCATTATCTTTTCATTTCCATTTTCCATGAACTTTTTAAAGCCCATTGTACACTTCTAGGTTTATGTTGTTGTTTAGTGCCGTTGAGTTGATTCCGACTCATAGCAACTCTGTGTAGAATTTTCTAATAGTGACTGGTGGATTTGAACTGCCGACCTTGCAGTTCAAACCGATTTTGGGGTCCAGTGCTTATCCTACAGTGCCACACCAGGACTCTATTTTGAGGGGACTTTTAAAAAGTTCTGTGTGGTCAGAGGCCAGTTTTGTTTTCCTTTTTTCTGAATTACCTGCTGTGTCCATATTTGTTTGTCCATTGAATTGTCAGTCTTTTTACTGATGATTTGCAAGAGCTCTTTGTATATGAAGGAACTCACTAAAATCCATTGCTCTCGAATCAGGTAGACTCACAGCAACCCTGTACAGCTGGGTAGAACTGCCCCATAGGGTTTTCAAGGCTGTCCTGGTGTGGTGCTGTAGGATAAGCACTGGATTGCTAACCATTAAGGTCTGTGGTTCAAACCCTATACAGAATTGCTATGAGTTAGAACTAACTCGATGGTATTCAGCAACAACAGATCTTTACAGAAGCAGACGGCCACCGTGTTCTCCTATGAAGCAGCTAGTGAGTTTAAACCACTAATCGTATGGTTATCAGCTGAGAATACGGTGCTCACAGGGCTCTTATAAATGAAGGAACCCACCTTTTGCTTTCTTAAAAGGTGTTAAAAACTCCCATAATTCCTTTATTTTTTGGCTTCGTTTTATTCTTTTGTTTTGCTGCAGGTTTTATCATCTTTTTCTGTCATAGAAGAATCTTCCACTCCAAGACTGAAAGAACAGATTTTCTTTCCATATGTTTATTGTTTCATTGACTACATTTCAATCTTTAATCCATTTGAGCTGGACACCGAGTAAGATGTGAGAGAAAATTCTAGTTCTTTTTTTTTTTTTGTCTTTTTCATAAATGCTTTGCCCACTTGACCCTATTTTTTTAAATTGTGGTCAAATATGGTGGTGGTGTCCAGTGGAGTCAGTTCTGACTCATAGCAACCCTGCAAAGGGTTTCCGAGGCTGTAAATCTTTACAGAAGTAGAAAGCCTCATCTTTCTCCTGTGGAATGGCTGGCAGTTTTGAACTGCTGACCTTGAGATTAGCAACGCAACTCATAACCACGACCTTACAGAGCCTAAAAGTTGCCCTTTTAAGATAAACATGGTGCATCCATACAATGGAATATTACTCTGGAGTCCTGGTGTGGCGCTGTTCCGACACAGTGCCCCGATATTGGATTTCTGAGGCTATAAGTTTGTATGGGAGAGAAAGCTTCATTTTTCTCCTGTGAAGTGGCTGGTAGATTTGAACTACTGAACTTGTCGTTGGTAGCCCAATAGTAACTCACTACACTAACGGGGGAGTCCTGGTGTGGTGCTGTGGGTTAATGCATCAGACTGCAAAGCCAATTGAACTGCAAGGTCAGCAGTTCAAGCTCACCAGCTGCTCCTCGGAAACCCTATACCGGGTTGCTATGGGTCAGAATCGATTTGACAGCACTTAACAACAACACTACCAGGGCTCCTTATGAGTGAGCCTGTGCTATGTGAAATAAATCAGACATAAAATAAATATTGTATGTTCCTTTATGTATTGAACTTCTTTATACTGAATATTATTGTTATCGAGTAGGTTCCAACTCACAGCAAGTTGACATAGGGTTTCCAAGGCTGTACATCTTTGTGGGAGCAGAAAGCCTCATCTTTCTCCCACACAGAGGCTGCTGGTCTTGAACAGTCAACCTTGTGGTTTGCAGTTCAGTCCTTACAGGTAGGGCTTGGGGCTATGCTAAGGCTAGAACTAAAACTTGGTTTAGTTTTAGGGTTACAGGTGGGTTTATTTTGATCTATTCTTGAAATCTGCTTGATTTTGTCTTCATTGAAATGTTCTATAACTACATTCTCCTTCTTTATGCTTTCTGGTTTTCTTGTTGTAAACTGGGGTCTCTGGCTCCCCGTTTTTAGTCTTGTAGGTTTGTTTTACTTTGAATACTTTTCTATCTGGGTTGAGTTCTGGGTGGTCTATGTTAACCTCAGGTTTGCCGCTGTTGCTTCCCTGTCCAATGAAATCCCTTGAGTGTTTTTTGTAAGGCTGCGCAGGTTTTTACAAATTCTTTTCATTTTTGTTGCTCTGGAAATGTCCTAATTTTATGGTTATATTTGATGGACAATTTTACTGGGTATATGAATCTTCATTAGTCATTTTTTCTTTCAGAGTTTTGTATATGTCATTCCGTTGTCTTCCATGCCTGGTTTCTAGTGAGAAATCCGAGCTTAGTCTTTAGCTCTCCTTTGTAGGCAAATTTTCAGCTTTGTGTGTGTGTGAGCTGCTGTGAGGATTCTTTCCTTGTCTTCGATAGTGAAAAGTTTAATTATAATATGTTTTGGTGATTCTCTTTTGGGCTCTATCCTTTTTTAGAGTTTGTTCAACTGGTTGAATACATATCTTCTCGTCTTTCATGATGTTGGGGAAGCTTTCTTCTGACAACTCTTCGACAGTTTTCTCTGGTTTTTTTGTTTTGTTTTTGTGTGTGTGTGTCTCTCTTCCTGTTCTGGAATTCCAATCACTTGTAAGTTCTTTTTCTTTATAGTGTCCCACATACATCAAAGGCTTTCTCCAGATTTTGTTGTTTTTGTTTTTTTCTGATGGTTCCTCTAGCGAGTGGCTGTATGTTGAACGAAGCTCACCAATTCAGCTTTCCGTTGATTTAATTCTGCTTTTCTACCCTTTCAGTGTATTAACTATTTATGAAGTCTTAGCCTTGTTCATCGGGCTTTCTGATTGCTGTTTCTATATGGTTTCCCAGTTTTCATTTATTTTGTCAGCTTGCTCTTGGGCTTTCCTGAATTCTATTTTGTCTGTGTTTTCCTTAATTCTTTGTGCCATTTTCTCTGTCAGTGAAAGTATGCCGATAAATTGATTATCAGGTGTTTCAACACCATTGCTGGTATTGTATTTTCTGACTATTTTGGACACTTGTTTGAGACACTCTCCCTGGTTTCTTCGTGTAAGCAGAAATTGTTTTCTCGGAGACATTGTATTTATTTAATTGATGATTTTGGTGTGTTCTCAGGCACTGACCACCCAAGTCTGGGTGGGTGTGACAGACGGGGAGTATGAACCGAGTTCTCTGTTTACCATCTGTATCGTTCAGGGCAACTTCGTGCACCTCCAACACCCAACCCCAGACGGAGCCGGGGCTGTACAGAAGGGGGGGCGTCTTACAGACGGCTGGGCTGGCAAGGGCATGGGGAGCAAGGAAGAACTGCGTTCTCTTTGCCACCAACCTCCAGCTTTGTCCTGTGTTTCTAGACCACTGTATCAGCAGCTACCTTCAAAAGCTCATAATAGCCAGGTCTTTCCAGGCCAGCCTACCACCACCATTTTTGCTTCCTTTTTGGTGTGTGTTCCTGTTCAGCTTCGCCTTCCAGTTACCACTGAATGTGCTTCTGTCCCTATCCTCCAGAGCTCCGCATTCCAGGATCACAATCTGTATTTGTTTTACTTCATCTCTCATGGCCTTGTAGAGGGTCTGCTCCACAAGTCTGCCTACTCCGCCATCTTGGCCTGAAAGTCCTCGATAATGTTTTTGATGCATAGACATTTTTGTTTTGATGAAGCCCAAGTGATCTGTTTGTTTTTTGTTTTTTTTAAATATATTATTCTGTTGTTTGTGCTTTTGGTATCATATCTAATAATCTGTTGCCAAGTACAAAGTCCTGAGGATTTATCCTTATGTTTCATTCTTAAAGAGGTTTAAGCTTTTGCATTTAGGCCATCGATCCATATTGAGTTCATTTTCATATATAGTAGGAGGGTTTCTTTCCTTTTTTAAAAGTTTTTATTGTGAATTGAGTGATAGTTTACATGGGAGAACATCAATTTTACAATCACCCTATATATTTTGTATCATTGCAATGATTACAATCCCCTCCATGATTCATCATTCAGCAGCACCTGCCTCTATTCCTTCTGGGTTTTTGGGTTTTTTTTGCGGGGGATGTACACCAAAAGACTCAGGAATATACATCATCCAAACAACCAAAGGGCACACACTGCAAGCCTGCCCCCTGGCCACCAATACACAGCCCCTCTCCCTCCATGAGTCCAGTCCTCAGCTGCTCCATCTCTCCACATTATCATCTCTGCCTCCAACCCCGGCATCACCACTTCTCTAGATAGGGCCCACATTCCGTTCCTGCTCTTCTCCCTTGATGGTCCTAGGGGTCCGCTTATGGACCTTACATTGCTGGAATGTAAAACTAACTACTCCCCCCCCTTTTTGCTACAAAACCTCCATCTTTACAGTTGTGACAATAGTGATTAGTTATGGTAACAATTACTCACTATTGAATCATAAGAATCTTATTCTCATCAATAGGAGGGTTTCTTAACCTGAGCACTGTTCCCATTTGGCACCAAATCATTGTTTGAGGAGGGGGCTGCTCTGCAAGGAAGGATGTTCAGAGGCATCTCTGCCTTGTGCACAGTAGATACCAGTAGCACCGCCCCCAGCCCAACCTGAATTGTGACACTGACATTGCCACATGCCCCTTGGAGGACAAACCCCTCCATCCCTATTCTCGTTGAGCCCATTTCCAGTTGGTAGGTGAGGTTTGCAAAGAGTGTGCTTTATAAGGAACTTGGATTGTGCAATGGGTGGAGATGGCCCTGGGCACTGGGAGAACTAGAGCTCTCCACCCCTTGCCCAACCCATAATGCCCTGTGATCCTGTTGCAGGTGGCTGTCGTGAAGTCTGGGGATGTGGAAGCAGAGTTAGCGCCCTCTGGTGGGCAGCCCTCCCCAGCGGGGGCTGCTCCGCAGGTAGTGACCCTGCACGTGGCAGAGCCCGGGAGCAGCATGTCAGCCGAGAGCCAGCTAGGCACCCCAGACCTACAGCAGATCACCCTGGCATCTGGGTCATTTGGGGGGTCTAGCTACAGTGTCATCACGGCACCCCCCATGGAGGAAGGGACATCAGCTCCTGGCACCCCTTACAGGTGAGACCTGCAACCTGCGGGACCCCTCCAGTCTTTTACAAGCATGCTGGCAGGGTACGTGAGTTCAGATGATTCTGCCCTTCCAAGCCTAGATGGCAGGAGGCAAAACCCTGCTAAGTAGAAAGTGCCTGGGCTCTGGTGGGGCCACTTGTACCAGGCACTTGTCTCATGTCCTTGAGACGCATGTATCCCCGGCTTTCCAAAGAAGAGGTGAACTAGCCTTTTAGTCACCCATGTTCTCTTCCACTGAGGGTTCCATACTCCAAGCACCTTTCCCAGCATTCCAGGTGCTAGCGTTCCCTGCCCTGAGCACCTTTTGGGCAGACATGCTCATATATCCATGGAGTGCTGACACGGTCTCAGGGAGAACCTGAGTCCCCAGTAGCTGTGCCCTGGGTCAGCCTCGCAGCGCCTACGGACCAGGTCCTTTGACTCCCGAGTCCTCTGTGGTAGACGTCACCCGCAGGATGGCTGCTTCTTGGGGAAGGGGACCTGTGGCCCTTCACCCTCTCCCAGAAGCCCACTTCAACCCTCCCTCTGCCCATAGTGAGGAGCCCCCCGGGGAGGCAGCCCAGGCTGTGGTGGTGAACGAGGCCCTGAAGGGAGCTGGCACGCACTACATCATGGCAGCCGATGGCACCCAGCTACACCACATTGAGGTGAGACCCTGGGTGGCCCTACCTCACTTCCCCCAGCCTCCCTTCCCTCGGCCCCTCATGCCCCCTGTGTCTCAACAGCTGGCCGCTGATGGCTCCATCTCCTTCCCGAATACTGAAGCCCTGGCCTCGGGCACCAAGTGGCCCCTGCTGCAGTGTGGGGGGCTGCCCAGAGACGGCCCTGAGCCCCCGTCTCCAGCCAGGACCCACCGAGGCGGGGACCTCCAGGCCGCCGCCTCCCCGTCTCCTGCAACCAACAAAGCACTGGGCCTCGGAGTGCCCCCGTCCCCACCGTCTGCAGCTGCTGCCACGTCAAAGAAATTTTCTTGCAAGATCTGTGCTGAGGCCTTCCCTGGCCGAGCCGAGATGGAGAGTCACAAACGGGCCCATGCTGGGCCTAGTGCCTTCAAGTGTCCCGACTGCCCCTTCAGTGCCCGCCAGTGGCCCGAGGTCCGGGTAGGTGGGGCCCGGATGTCATTCACATGGCTGCTTGTTTTTGTAACAAACCTTTATTGCGTACACCCTCAAGCTCGGCCCTCTCACTGTAAGGTCCCCGCTCACAGACCAGACATAATGGGACACACACCAGAAGCTTCCCCAGTGAGGACAAAGTGCACATGGACGAGAGCACAAACGGAGAACAAGTCAGGAGGGCTGGGGGAGATACACAGGGAAGTTGAACTCGGCCCTCCGGACCAAAGGCACAGAGGTGTGGAGACGGGCATCGAGCTTTGGGAAATTTAAGTTGTCTAGAATACTGAGGGCAGAGGTTCAAGTTCAAGGGAAGACATTGCTGAGAAGGCAAGTGAGTCAGATCTGGAACTGTGGGCTCTCTCCAGTCTTCAGAATAGTCATGAACCTCTTCTCAGCCTCACCTTCCAATGGGCTCTGTGCCTCAAGTGCCAGGGGGCCTGAGAGCACTGTCAAAGTCTGCTCACCCACCCGGGAGACTAGCTATGGCTAAACATTCTGAGCAGGGTCAGGATTGTCCAGGTGAACTAGGGACAGGGCCTCACGCTTTTCTCACCCGTGAACAGAAGGTTCTGGTCTGCTGTGAGTTTCCCCCAGGTCCACTTCACTTGGGGACGAGTTCTCAGAACAGTTCTCGGGGGAGCTGGGGGTTGCTGCCACTGGCCTGCCTGGTCACCTGTGCCCTCTGCAGGCCCACATGGCGCAGCACTCGAGCCTGCGGCCCCACCAGTGCAACCAGTGCAGCTTCGCCTCCAAGAACAAGAAGGACCTGCGGCGGCACATGCTGACCCACACCAACGAAAAGCCTTTTGAGTGTCGCCTCTGTGGGCAACGGTGAGGCCAGGCTGCCAGGGAGGGGCTCTGGGCCCCCAGGTTGAGCCAGTCCTGAGACTCTGCCCCTCCCCTTAGGTTCAACCGTAACGGGCACCTCAAGTTCCACATCCAACGTCTGCACAGTCCTGATGGCAGGAAGCTAGGGGCTCCTCCAGCCAGGACCCCCACTCAGACCATCATCCTCAACAGCGATGAGGAGACGCTGGCCACACTCCACAGTGAGCTGCCTCTGGGACCACAGGGTGGACACTGGGGGCATCCAGGGGCTTGAGCCGCTGCCCAGAAGGCAGCCTTCAGTGGGGGCAGGGCAGCTCAGGGTTCCTGAGTCCTTGAGCTCATGTCCTCCCTCTCTGCCCAGCAGCCCTCCAGTCCAGTCATGGGGTCCTGGGTCCAGAGCGGCTGCAGCAGGCACTGGGTCAGGACCACATAATTGTGGCCCAGGAACAGACAGTGACCAACCAGGTGCGAGGTTGTGAGGGTAGTGGTCCCTGCTGACCGTCCCTGGCAGGGGTGGGGAGTCTGAGCACTGAGGCTGGGAATGATGGCATGGCCCTGACAGGAGGAAGCCACCTATATCCAGGAGATCACCACAGCCGACGGCCAGACTGTACAGCACCTGGTAACTTCTGACAACCAGGTAAAACACCTGCGGAGCACCTCTGCCCTGCCTGCCTGCCCTTCAGCCCCCACCAGTAGGCGGCTGCCTCTAATTCTGGCCCTGCTGTCTCAGGTGCAGTACATCATCTCCCAGGATGGGGTCCAGCATCTGCTTCCCCAGGAGTACGTCGTGGTCCCTGAGGGACATCACATCCAGGTGGGCCAGGCTTGGGGCCAGGGCGGAGAGTTGTGGGGAGAGCCGCAGTCTCCTCCCAGGCTCACAGGTTATCTTCTCTGCAGGTACAGGAGGGCCAGATCACACACATCCAGTACGAACAAGGGACCCCGTTCCTCCAGGAGTCCCAGGTGGGCCCTTGAGGTTGGGGAGCAGGGGCACGGGCTGAGCCTCTGGGCCACAGCTCATCACCCCCCTCCTCCACAGATCCAGTATGTGCCTGTGTCCCCGGGCCAGCAGCTTGTCACACAGGCTCAACTGGAGGCCGCAGCACACTCGGCTGTCACAGGTACGGGACCAGACCGTGGGGATGTGGGTGTGGGCCCAGTGCCTGGCCTTCAGGCTCACCCCCCTCCCTCCCTGGCAGCTGTGGCCGATGCTGCCATGGCCCAGGCCCAGGGCCTGTTCAGCTCGGAGGAGACGGTGCCGGAGCACATTCAGCAGCTGCAGCACCAGGGCATCGAGTACGACGTCATCACCCTGACTGATGACTGAGCCCTGGCGCCAACCATGGATGTTGGGGCCAACCTGGCTGGGAGCAGCAGGGGCCTTAGGAACTCAGCTCCCTACCAGGGTGCTGGGACTCTGAAGGAGCCAAGGACTGGGGGTGTCCCAGGCCCCAGCCAGGACTAGCTGGGAGTCTTAGCCTGCAGGCAGGCTTTGGGAGAGAACTTTATTTTCATTTGGATGAAACCACTGGCCTCTCAGTCTCAATAAAGGGACCAGAGTCCAGCCCTGGCTGGCTTGTTTGTCCACTGCTGCTACAGCCTGAACCAGGCAAGGACCTGGGAAGCAGAAGAAGGTGGAGCATGGTTAACACCCTTCAAGGGTGGGAGTGGCCCCACCAGGCAGCTTCCTCCCCACCTCTGTAAGTGTACACGGCTACTGAGGCCTGAACGTGGAAGATTGGCTTTGCTGGCATCTGGCTGTACTGTGGGCACAGCACAGCCTCTGGCTCAAGTGTCACAGCAGATCCCAGGTTTTATGGGCCACTGGGCACAGGCTGAGCCTCAGGGATCAGCAGGGTGGGCAGGTGAACTTATATGACCACGATATAGCCAGGGTGTAGTCTTAGAAGTTGCTCCAGGTTCCTCAGCCTTCTCTGCCCTCAAGACCCTCACACATTCTGGGGAGGGTTTCTGTATTTTCCTCTTATGAACAAAACAAGTGGTCAAAGGAGGGCTGGGTACGGGGGTGGGGCACCGGGGTCTATTTACAAGGAGATTGGAGTGAGTTCAAGGTGTGGCATTGGGGCAGGGAGGGGAACCCTGGCAGAGCCATCATCTTCCTATGTCATCGGCAGCATGACCCACTGCCACCCCAGGGGGAGGGCCCTGGAGTCTGCTCAGTCAAGAGGCCTGAGTCCCAGCAGTCCATATGAGCACCCCTGGGCTCCTCCTCCCTGCACAATGTGCTAAGTGGGGTGAGGCTCGCGGCTGGGGCCCTGTTCGCGGCCGGAGTCCCTGTCCTTGGCTTCTGAGGAGGAGCCGGAGCCGTGACTTCGGCTGGACTGGCGGTAGGCGGCGCTGAGCTCCTGGAGCCGCTCAGCCGTGGGCCCCCACTTGGCGAAGCCCGGTTCGTTCTGCAGGAAGAACACTGCCGTGTTGTGCACCGCCTTGTAGAGCATCTCCTCCCTGCGGGGCAAAGGCAGCACTCAGGGCCAGCTCCCCAGGGCGGAGCCAGCCTGGCCCAACGACCCCGGCCGCCCTGGGCACCTACTTCTTGCAGATGTGCTGGGAGCCACTCCGGTACTCGTGCTCAAAGGCGGGCAGGACCAGTTGGTGGCGTTTGAAGCAGCTCTGCTCCATGCGGGTGAGCGCCAGTGTGGGGGGCTCCCGCCACTCAGGGATAAACACGATGAAGGATAGGGGCTCTGGGGAGCTCTCGAGCAGTTTCTGTGGGGGTAGGGGAGGGGTGGACATCAGGGGCTGCCTTCCTGGTGAGTGACAACCTGGCCAGCTGGCAGCAGCAGTCCTCTCACCTCAAAATGAGTGACCGTGGCGTCCATGAGCTCCTCGCAGAAGGGTGGGTTGGCCTCAAAGGAGCCGCTCAGTGGGGAGAAGTCCAGGCAGGGCCTGGGGACAGAGGTGAGCACCCGGGTCCCTCAGCCAAAACAGGAGCCGTCACATGAGCATTGACGAGGTGACCCTTTCCCTCCTGCCCCACCCTGGGGTGAGCTGTGGCCCTCTCCACAGAGCCTGAGGGGCTTGGCTGCCCAAGCCCACAGGGAGGTGGGGGAGACATGCAGGTTCAAGCCCAACTCCAGGCCAGGCCCAAGAATCCTCTAGTAGCTGTCCCCACCCCGCGTCTGTGTTCCTCTCCTTACGTTCATGCTCACCCCCACCTCTTAAGTTTTTACATCTTGGGGGTCTGTTACCACTTCTCATTCCTCTCCTTTTCCAACCTGAGTAACAGGCCCGTTAGGGGTCCCGCGTGCCTACCCCAGGACCACTGCCCTAGAACATTGTGCAGCTGGCTGACGAGGGTTCTGTGCTCTGAGGAGCACTCCTCATACTCACCCGCGGGAGCCAAAGTAGCCATCTGTGTCAGGGAAGGCTGAGCAGTACTGGCGGAAGTAGCAGTTGAGGGGGGAGGCAAAGCACTCGAAGCTGACGCCAAAGAGCCGGTGGAGGGCCTTGAAGACACGCACGGGCAGTGAACCCTGCAGGCCCGTCCCCTCGTAGAAGCCCACGCCAAACATCATCTGCAGAAGGGCGCGGTCACCATCTGGCTTGGCCTCCCCACTCCCTCCAGGGTGTCCTCCCCTCATTGCCCAGGCCTGTACCTGGTACCGGCGGAGGAGACACCAGACCCGGGGCAGGAACCTCTCAAAGGCAGAGTCATCAATGCAGCTGTAGCGGTAAAGGAGCCACTGGGGACAGAGTGGTGGGGGTTAACAGGGGCCCCTATGCTCACCACTAGCTTTTTGGTGTGATCACCTTGGCCCATCAGCTAGAACATTTGTCCCTCTAGCCTCTCCCTGCCTGGCCAGCCCATGCCCAGCTCTTACCAGCTTACTGAAGTGGTTGCGGCTAACTTTGACCATCTCGCCTTTGTACCGAATGCAAACTGTACTGTTCTCCAAGTGCATCTCCACGCTGGGCATGGGGGGCGCAGACACGGCCAGTCGCACAGGGTAGCAGTAGACCAGGCGGGGCTCCACCTCGGGGGCCTCCACTTCCTCTGTGGGCACGGACAGCATTGAAGAGTGGTCTGCCTCGGCTCAGCTCATTCTTCTCTCCAGTGTGCACCAAAGCCTCCCAGTAACCAGAGGAGTCGGCTGGGGCTCAGCGAGGCATAGTACAAAAGCATGGGAAAAACCCCCGACAAGTGGCACGATAGAAGCTGAGTACTGAACAGGCTGCACTGTGCCATCTGGCCTAGGGGTCTCCTTCCTCTCCATAGCCACAGTGCCTTAGGGGTCCTCTGGGGCTACCTCTGGCTTTCCCTGAAGTCTAGGGCAGGCACGGCACAGGGTGTAGGGATTGAGGTGCCAAGGGTGGGGCAAATGGCCTTCTCTTCATCCTTCCGGGTATGCTGCAATGCCCTACCCGAGCCAATGCACACTCTTGTTGCTGAAAGGAGCGGCCTCCCCAAGCCAAGCTACAGCCCTACTTCAGTCTCACTTGTTCCTCCCCTCAGGGGTCAGCCCCCTGCCCCCTACCTGAGATGTTGTTCTCTTTGAGGACAGCAAGGTGTTTTTCTCGGATCCGTTTGACGTACTCCAGGGAGATGTGGTAGATCTTGCTGCAGATGCCTTCTACTGAGTCCTTGGCTGCTGCTGAGACGTGGGGGCCGCACTGTTTCCGCAGGTGCTCCAGGCGGTCCTGGGGGAGGGCTGCTGGTCAGGGCTCTGGCAAGGGCTGAGAACCTCTGTCAGGCCAGCAGGTAAAGGCAGACCCCAGTGTGAACCTGGCCCTGCTCCGTGCAAGTTATGTCCTGTGGGTAAATCCCCTGGCTTCTCTTAAGCCTCTCTCTACCATCAAGGAATGTGCTTACAGCTCTGTACAGTGTAGGCTGACTGAGTCCCTGGCATAACACTGCAGTCTCCTCCATTAATAAGACTGTTGAGCCTGAGAGCCACCATTTCACCAAGGCTCAAGGCTGGCAGGAAACCCGCCGAAGCACAAGCCAGCAGTTACTGGGGGTCATTCAAGTGCCCTGTTGTTAAGTGCTGTCGAGTTGGTTCCAACCCATATCGACCCTGTTATCAGGTTTCCGAGGAACTGCTGGTGAGCTTGAACCGCCAACCCTGCAGTTCAAACAGCTTTGGCTTTGCAGTCTAGCACATTAACCCACAGCGCCACACCAGGACTCAACTGCCCTAGACCACGATAAATACTGGGGCAATAGACCAACTGACTGACTGACAGTTACAGAGAGACATTACAACTGGGGGATCCGTGGTCATTGTAGCTTTGAAATCTGAGCTATCAGCTACTTAAGAGGAAAGACAAATTTGGTGGTAGCTCTTAACTGTGGCACAAACACACATACTAGGAAAGAGCAAAATGTCCTCAAGGGAGGTGTAGAATGTACACTGAGGTCAAGAGGCAGCTATTTGTGTATGGCCACACAAAGTTCTCTTTGGGAGAAGACTGGGAGCCGGGGTAAACGTCTGCATATTCATGAGTCTGGGGTTGCTGTGTTGGGTGAGAGCAAGCTACTGGACAGGTAGGGGCTTCCTGGAGTGGCTGCAAAGCTGCAGGGCCCACTCACCATGTAGTCCTCCTTAGAGGCCAAATGGTCCTTCCGCAGCCAGCTGAAGGTGTCTTCCACATTCCACTTGACCACCTTCCTGCTGTCAGGGGATGTGCTCCTGCCAGGTGACAGGGAGAGAGGTGGCTCAGCAAAGCACAGGGCCTACACTTCTATGTCTGCTGCCCCCTCCATTCCACTTCCACAAAGGGGCGTCCACCTGCACATTTCAAGCCGGTTAGGGGAGCTGGTCCCACGTCTGTCACCAAGAGTAGTGACAGACTAATCCTGAGTGAATGTGGACCAGTTCCTTCTGGTCACGGACCCCTCTTGCTGGGGCAGGAGGAGAGGCAAACCTGGACTCGATGAGCCGCCTGGCAGCCTCCGCATACTTAAAGAGCAGGCGCTTGGCTTCCTCCCGAAATTTGATGCGGGACAACCTGGGTTTGAGAGCAGGGGGTGTCAGAGCCCTTCCTTACGTGCCTGGGCTCAAAAGCCAGGTGCCCGGCTTCCCCGTGACAGAGCGGTACCTGATGGGAATGTCATTCATGATTTCACGGAACATGGAAGGTGACACGACTGGCTCACAGTTGCTCGGCAACAGGGGGTCAGACCCTTTGTCCACCACCTTGCGCTCCAGCATCCAGCGGTTGAAAGACTCCCGGGGTGGTTCGATGCCTGCATGACAGGAGAGCTGATGAAAGCCTGGGCTGAGAGGCAGCCGTGGAGGAGCACAGCCAGTGAGACGAGATCCTGGCATGACAGAAGTCTACATCCTAGGCAGTATTTTCAGGGTA